GGCGAGAAACTCAACCATTTGGAACTTGACCCGCTCAGGGTCATCAGCTCCGTCCACCCGGGGAAGCGTGGTGATCCATTCCACCACTGTTCGCCAGCTGTGCCGGCAAGACTCTCCCTGCTGCGCCGCCTTCAGCCAAGAAAGAGCTCTGGCCCAACTATACCTCGCCGTGCGCTTGGTCTGTGGGGCCGTGGGTTGGACTAAAGGCCTTCTTATAATCCTCAGAGTTGTCCCTCTGCCAGAGGGATGTGAGGGTTCAACACAGGCAGAGCAGGCCTCCGACACTCGGGCAAAGTGCTGGGTAGCCTCATCCTGTGGGAGTTTATCCTGTAGCCATTCCCCTTGGAATGGCTTCCCTTCGGTTGGCGGACTGGCCATGCTGTTATGATCGCCCTGCACTGCCTGGGCAACCTCAATGTGCATGCTGTGCTGTTCTAGCATCATGGCAGGGCACAGCCCTTCACCCAACTCAAGTTGCAGGGCGAGGGAAGCGTGGGGCTTGTGTGGCACTGACCAGTCAATCCGCAGTAGACTGAGTGGTTCCAGGGTCTTGTGAACAATGGCAAAGTCGATTTCTCTGCCTTGGTCAGTGGTGGGCACCCCCACCGTGCAAAGGCACCCGTTCATTTCTGCCAAAACATTTGTGGCCGCGATCTCCTCCGGAGGTGTATTGAAATCGCCCGCAATAATCCAGACCCCTTTCCAGTTCCTGACCAAGCTGATTAACTCAGCGAGGATGGACGAGTTGGGCCTGGTGTTGATCGAGGTCCCTGTCTTCAGGTAAACACTGACAACAAGGAGATTCGTATGCTGGAGCCTGACATCGACTGCTTCAAAGCCACATCCTTCTTCCAGGTGAGAACGCTCAGCCCTGCCTTGGATGTGGGATCTTACCAGCACTGCAACACCACCTCTGGTGCCTTTGTCTGTAGGGTGAGAGATCCCCCCATACATCTGAAATCCTTGCCGGTGCATGTAATTAGACGCTTCCCTAGCTTCGGCCGGACCCAAGTGGGTCTCTTGGACCAGCAGGATGTGGTCTTTGGATGTCTTTGCCCAGTCGGCGACTTCCTTGCGCCACATTGTAACATTAGAAATCCGAACCGACACTACCAGCGGACTGCGCTGCTGGTGCCTGGCTCTGACGTCCCTGATGGCCTGCAAGACAACGTTGGGCCCTGCAAAGGCGTCTCCAGAGGCGTGGCTGAGCATCTGCTGGATGGTCCAGCCTTCGAGACTTTTGCTGTCTTCAGCCACAGCTGAGTCCTCCGCTAACTTAAGAAGAAAACGCTCGTGGCTGTCTGGAATCGCACCCCATTTACTATAGCACAACTCAAGGTTGGCCCAACTCCTGTAACAGGAGCAAAACTTCAGGAGCTTGGACCTGACCTTGACACGTTGCCGCTTAGGCTTGTTGTACTTCAGGGAGGGACTCACCTGACTGAAATAGTTGCTCGGCTTGTAACTTGGTCCTCTTGCTGAGGCAGACCTGCCGTCTGCAGACTCCGCCTCAGATGTTGCGGCAAAACCAGGTTCGGAAGTCCGACCTGCAGCAACATTGCCAAAACTGCTAAGTGTGTATGGGTGGGTCTTTGCCGATGGCCCGTCACTGGGGCCAGCCACTGGACCCTGACACTGGCCGGCCCCTAGGCCTTTGTCCTACTTCTGCGTGGCTGACTGTCGCGGGGACCTACTGCGCCTGTCCCCTTGACTGTCATCCTTTCTGGTCTGTGGCTCCGGCATTGAGTCTGTTGTATGTGCAGTCCTGGCCTCTTGCTCTTTCCTCCCATATATCTCGTCAATCTTCCTCTTTAAAGACTGGAGGGCGCTGACATCCATGCCCGCTACCTCCGACTCCAGAGAGTCTACGTCCATGGGCTGGGTCCTGCCTTTTTCCTGAAGAGCCTGCGCCAGAACCTGCGCTTGTTCTTTGGTGGCCACCAGCCCTGCCTTTTTTAGGGCGGCCGCCGTCTCATCTTCGGCCTCCACCAAATCGTCCTTCACTGCCTCCTGGAGCGCTGTCTGCTTGCTCTGGACAAGTTGTTGCATCTTCTGGATCGCCTCATTCGCTTCTTGGAGCTGCCGGAGTAGGCCTGTATACTGCTCCTTGACCTTGTCCACCTTGCTCTGAAGATCGCTTTTCTGGACAATGTCC